GGCCTGAGCTCACATGGATCTATCGCAGCTTGAGTTCTGCTCCTTTGAATGCAGTTATATTGCATGCATGGATGGATGGATGGATGGATGGATGGATGGATGGATGGATGGATGAATGAATGAATGGATGGATGGGTACGAAGGTGAATAGTTGAATAGGTAGACTCAGGTAGACATATCTGCATCACGCTGTGCGCCAGCAATTAAGCAAACAAGTAAACGTGCTTATACCGGTGTCTGTACTTTACTATGAATACTCATTCACGCTGAGGACATAGACATTAATTAATACAGAGGCAGACATGGCTCAGTCCCTTTGCCCCCCCGTGCCTTAGCACTGCGTCAGCCCCCAGCACAGCATTGGGAGCCGACGCGGATCGCGCCAGAACACGGCCCTCCTGATCGGATCGGTTGGTGCACTATCATCATCCTAGCCGTCCTCACCATTATCATCAACTGCACACCAGCACTAGCCCCATCAGTATCGCCATCACAACCCACATCATCGACAGTTTACAATCACCATCAGTATCATCCTTTTCGTCATCATCATGATCATGGTCGTCTCCTTCGTCGACGTCGTCGTCCAAACCAGCATCGTTTTCGTCGCTGGCATCATCGTCATCCTCAACGCTGCTATCTCTGTCGTCGCATTCACGTCGGCTTCGCATCTCCATGCTCGCTACTCCTCCTCCTTCTAGATGCTGCCTGCTGTGAAGGATTTTGTCGGTGAGAGTTCAAGATGGTGCTGTCGAATACCTCTACTGTTGTTTGTCACCGTCTGTTTTATGGGTCTTGCAACGTCCTTCCTGGAAAGTCCGGGAGCCGTGCCCTCTTTGGCTTAATCCTCGAAGCCTTCAGCCACGACCTAGAAAGCCAAAAAGCTTGAGCCATTGAGCCGCGAAGCCATCCCTGCCGGCAGTGCTTTCTCGAGGTCGCCCAGCTCCGCATCGATCCTTTACAAAGCTTCTGAGTCTACGTCTGGGGCACTGCAGGAAGCTAACGGCAGCTAACGGCTTTCGGTGTAAAGCCTCTCACAAACCTGGACTTTCGTCGAGATTGCTGTAAATCGAGCCGCTGCAGGTTGTCAGCAGCTTTCTACTGCGGGCAACAGTTCATTTCACAGGAGGGGGCCCGGCTGGAAGCAGTGGGGCAGTACTTGAGACAGGTTCGCCCACCGTTCTGTGACACTTTTCTCTGGTACCGTGACTTTCTATCGGTCCTACCATTTACTTAATTGCACAGCACCTCTTCTGATGCTGCCAATCGCAGATGCCGGCCCGCGACAATCCTGCTCTTTACAGACCGCGGATGCGCAGGGGCTTGCCCAACTACTAAACGCCTGTATTGCTTCAGGCAAAAAGCCCATGAGCGCATGCGAGATAGCTGGAATCTTCGGGCGTTAAGAACCAGGCCTGTGACAAGTTGTACTCATCATCGTGAATAGGAATACGGGCACCCCCAGCATCAGAGCAACAAGGAAAGCGAACGTCACGGAGAAGCAGCAGTACTGGAAGCAGCAGCAGGAGCAGCAATCATAGCAGCGCAGCAGCAGCGGCAGCAGCAGCAGCAGTAGCAGAAGCAGCTGCAGCAGCTATCAGCGGTAGCGATAGCAGCAGCAGCAGCAGCAGCAGCAGCAGCAGCAGCAGGAGGAGCAGCAGAAGTACTAATGGCAACACCCTTACAATTGAATTTCAAGAAGTGATAGCGGTAGGAGTACTGGTAGTAGTAGTAGTAGTAGTAGTAGTAGTAGTAGGAGTAGAAGTAGGAGTAGGAGTAGGAGTAGGAGTAGGAGTAGTAGGAGTAGGAGTAGAGCCTGGGTGTTTCAAAGAGTCTAGGTGCTTGGGACTTAAGCTTCGGGGTAAGCTCTAATTCTGTGGGAGATTTTTTGGCTGCGCTATTCCTGGAATGGCGTACGCACAAAGCTTTTGACGCCCGTACCCGTACCCTCAACCAGGACATGGGTAACTCTCTACATTAGGGTCCTTTTTTACGTACGGCAGCCTTGTAGAAAGGACCTCAATAGGAACCTTGCAAGCCCTGGAATTTCAGAAGTTCTAAAACCCGCAGATGTTCTTCTAACCCCTCTCCCCCACCCCTTCGAAGCCCTTTTGGGTTTGGGGTATATACATCTAAAAAACTTAGGAGTAGGATAATATAGGGGCCTAAATAATTATCTGTACTATTTTGGTGGTCCCTTTTTATAAGTCTACTATAATGGGCCCCAAAACCCTAAGTTAATTATTAAGGCCCCTACATTAGGCAGCCTCTAACCTTTCAGGATGCAATAACCCCTTCATACGGTTGATGGTATAAATCCTGCATTACCCATATTGAATAAACTACTCTGCCCACATAAAAACATTCACCAGCGGCGAAGCGAATGACCAGGACGGCTATAGATGAGAAAAGATAGCACATTGCCGAAGGTCGGCATCGGCAAGAAGTTCTCTCTTCCCAGCATGCAATGGTTCCGGCAGGAATATAGCATTCTATGCTTCTAAACCCGCCTGCCAACACTGGCGATCGAGAAGGTCGAGCAAGCCAGAACGACCCTTCTGACAATGTTTGCAGCGTCTTCGACCCAAGACTCGCAAAGCCCATGCATTCATGGAGAGAGATCCTCAGCGCGAGGAGTGGTTGGCACTGTACCACTGGCAAATGCCACAGGACGTTCTCCTGAACGTAGCCTATTGCCAAGGCCTCCACCTGGCCGACAACCGGTGCTATCTCCCTGGCCCAGACTTCAACGTCATCTTCTATTCGTGCTACCAAGTCCAGTACCGAGTGTTGCAGGGACCAGGAATATACCATAATTCGCATAGTTAGGGTCCTTAGGATTTATGTCATCAATAGTAATTGGCCTAAAATACTGGACAAGTAAGAAGAAGCATTCTCCAGTTTGGCATTTGAGGAGTACTCCGTCCCCTAAGATTCTAAACTAAAGTGCTTTGCAAGACGATACCTTGCTGCTTCTTCTACAGTGAGAGGCCCGCCCAAAGACTCCAAACGTAGACCCTGAGTGCACATATTATATACATATACATATATATATATATATATACACCCTAATTACCCTAAACCCTAGACCCTAAACCCTTGGGAGGTGGCCTCAGCATCGAAGCCACACCCTCTCCCGAACGCCCTTTCCCAGGACCCGCTTTTCGGCCGGAAGTCCCAGCGCTTGAGTTTTGCTGTCGGTGACAATCCCTAAACCCTAAAGCCTAACCCAAAACTTTAGGGTTTAGGGTTTAGAGTTTGGGGTATAGGGCTCTAAACCCTAACCCAAAACCCAAAACCCTAAACCCCTAAATCCTAAAACCCTAAAGCCCTAAAAACCCTAGTCCCTAAACTACACCCACAACCCTCAACTCTAAACCCGAGGCCCTAACCCGGAACGAAACCCTAAGCCTTACCATCCCTCGCTACTGTTAGTTGTCAGCCCCTGCGACCTTCACAGCAGTTCTTCAGAAGTAGCTGCAGTGTGGTGCAAGGCGTTCAAAATCTTCAGCTTTCGTAGTTCATGTTTAGGACTTAGGATTTCGGGTTTAGGGCTTTGGGTTTAGGGTTTAGGGTTCGATAAGTCTTGAAGTCAGGATAGGTGTGCCCTTGGCTGTAGAAGCCTGATGTATTGGCGGTACTATTCCGTAGGATTCCTTGCTATAATCATAGTATGATATACTCCCAGAACCCCATTCAGATTACTAAAGCGCCGGAGAACCCTAAACCCTAAACCCTAAACCCTAAACCCTAAACCCTAAACCCTAAACCCTAAACCGTGCCGGAGTTGTGTGTCCGAGAACGATCCTGGGAGAAGCTTAGCCAGGCCCTGAAGGTTTCAGGGGCTGGGGCTCAGGGCTCAGCCCAACAATTGCTTTAGGGTTTAGGGCTCAGGGTTTAGGGGTTTAGGGGTTTAGGGTTTAGGGGTGTAGGGTTTAGGGTTTAGGGTTTAGGGTTTAGGGGTGTAGGGTTTAGGGCTTTATGGGTTTAGGGTTTAGGGGTTTAGGGGTTTAGGGTTTAGGATTTAGGATTTAGGGCTCAGGGTTTAGGGACATTCTTAGCACTTAGGCGAATTATGCAACGGAAGTTCTACGCACGATCAGTAGGTTAGGAGACCGTCTCCAGGGCGCCGACGGCAGGCCCTGAACCCTAAAGGTTTAGGGTTTAGGGTTTAGGGTTTAAAGCCTAAGCCCTAAAACCTATGCAGGATGTGACATCGAAGTCAGGCCAAAGCCATGGAGTTCTCCGAGAAAGTGTAGCGCCTCCTCGGACCGTTTAGGATTTAGGGTTTAGGGTTCAGGGTTTAGGGTCTACCAGCACCCCCCAACTACCCTCCAAAAAACCCTAAATATCCACTATTAAGGACCATAACGGCTCCATTAAAGGGTACTTCGGGGGAGCTGGTAGGATTTAGGGCTTAGGGTTTAGGGACATCGCGGGTCAGTCCGAAGACGAGGCTCATCGACCAGAGCACCGATGTTGCTGCAGCGCTCGTGAGAAGTATGGTGACTAAACCCTAAACCCTAAAC